GGAGAATTATAATCTTGGTATATTGACAATCGATTTACAAGTGGAGATGAATTGGTTTTAAAGCGTGTACCGTTCCCTCACTTGTTACGCGTGAAACTGCGTCAATGGACTGCAAGTGGATCAAAAGGTATACCAATTAATTATCTCAGTGAAAGCAAGCAAAGGGAATAGTCAAGGAAGATTACTAAGAGACCATAGCAGTTTGGTGATAATACCATGAGGTTCTTTAGTAACCCGAGTGTGATATCTTCAGGCATATATGTTCTTGGATGCCACTTTGCCTCAGACCAGTCAACATATGTCACAGTCCAGTTAGCAATGCCACCAGGATCAAGCATCTGAAATATTTATCACGCGAATGTATATTATGGATAATGAAAGTACACAAAAATGAAACACTTTCTTTTAAGTAAAAGATTCTCACATAGAAGAATGTTGGCAGGTAGTGTTCATCCGCGATGCAGTTCTTGTTGCTCTCTACACCTGGCTGAAGAAAAAACAAAGGCTTCATGTTAATCTGTGGTTATTACCATATAATCTAAGATGGTAACGCCTCCATCAAATCGAGAAAATAAGGTAAGATATATCTATTTTGAAGGTTTATGTCATACTCACCCCACAGTAGTCCCGGAATTTAGAGTAGTAAAGACTGTCTGCCATAGTTACTACAGCATGCTGCCGCTTCATGGAAAACCACTGCACGGATATAGAAATGTACGAGTAAGCAAATGAAATCTTGTTGAAAAACTCTTTCATGCCAAAATTTTTAGCCTCGCTTAATCAAAATGCTTCCTATAACAACCAATGGAACCAAATATGCAGATCAAATGTGTATAATTGCTGATGTACCAATTGATCACTAGCAATGAAAAATTTGGGCTTCAAAAGAATATTCCTGTTCCTAAATACGGATGTAAGATAGTGCATACATGCTGTTGCCAACACTAGTCCAGAAAGAGTTCCAACAATGACACAGAACCATATCTTATATCTGAGTCTTCCTATTTAGTGATTTCGCATGTGTTTTATTTTTAAGAGAATGAGGCAAGCATAATACTGGATCAGCTAAATAGATTTTACCTGTGCACCCTTTCGAAAATCTTCCTTTGGAATTTCCGGCAACATGTGATCCATATGCCTGCCGATTCCATGTGGACCAGGATCGTCAAAGCTGAAGAGCAAGACAAATCATATATTAGTATAGAGAAGTTGGGAAGAAATCTGGCAATATGTGTAACTATAATTCCAATATCTCATCAAATTGAACAAATAACTTTACCAGTCGACATAGCTGACATTGCTGTACATCATATAATTGTACATGTATTCAAAACTTCGAAGTGGCACACAACTGCAAAACCAGAAACACTCAAGTTGGATAGTGAAGCTCAGAATAATCAGTGAGAAGAGAAATAAAGTTTCTCGGAGATAAATATTACCTATCAGAGAGTAAAACAAATTGCTGATTTTCAGGATCTTTAAGAGCATTGGTCAACAAACGTCTCTCGGCGTCAATCATTGATATCCTACCCCAGACCACCTTCAGAAATACCACAGAGCAAGAGAAATTCATGATACATCAACCAACTAAATGTAGCCATTCCAGACCTATAGGGTTTCTTTTCATGACCATAGAGAGAGATGACATGATATCTACAATTATAGACATTAGTCGGAATAGAGACAGACCTCATCGCTTCGAATTTCACGGTTAAGAAAGTAACGACTGGTGTGAACTGGCGTATCCTTTGATGCATGGATATAAACAGAGAATTTCCCCTCATGACCCTGTGAGGAGGGATATCACAAAACCGTCAGTGAAAGAAATAATTTGACGAAAGAATCAAATAATCACAGAGATCCTAAGCATATTGCAAGTGTTCATATGGCACATCTAAGTATTCTGCAGCCTGAACAATTTTCCAGACAAAGTCTTAAATTTTGAAGAATTGTCAAACAGCATAAAAAGCCAACATAAACTTAAATAGAGTTCATTGTACTTCCTATCTTCAGTATCTTCTTTAGCCAGAAGGAAACCTCTGACATGATTGATGCGGGAAAAAAAGTTGGGAAGAGATGAAGTCTACCTGGAAAAAGAGGTCCCATAGCTTTTCAAAAGGCAATGTCCCCGGAGTTAAGAACATAAATGCCATCTTAGAAGTCTTTTTTATAACACGAGGGGAGCTCAATATTTCCCTAATCACTACACGAGCTGCAATTTCGTCATCAGAATATTCCCTCGGCGTGGGTGGAAGCCAATCAGTAAGTCCTTTGCATCCTCTAGATGAAAGAATATAACAAGCAGCTCTGCTGCGATGAGGGAACATGTAAGCACCAATTACAAACATTGTTATCAGCGAAACCACTGCGATGATCCATACTGGCTTCCTTGTTGGAGCACGGTGGCGACCCCCAGGCAAAGACTGCGTATAGTTTGTTCTGCCTAGACGCCACCCTTTAATTGCCTTCATCTCATAAAAACCTTTATCGCATACTGCAACAGCTCAACCTCTAGTATTCTCTCACCCACTGCCAAATCTGGAGGAACAAGTTTCTTCAGGTAAAATGAGAGAATCCCATTGGCAGCTAAAACCAGTCCAAACCTAAAAGATACATGTAAAAACCCAATATTTGAACATCAGAAATCCATACAGACCAGACGATAAGGAAGCCATAGAGAAAGAATAAGATACAACTTTTAAAACTAAACCAGATCAGAATCTAAAATTAAACTGTTTCTCTAGTTTATTGGCCAACATAAGAAACAAAAAGAATGCCATACAAGTGAATCACATGATAAGTGTGAATGAAACTCAAATCCACAAACCTAAATGAAACTCAAATCCACAAACCTAGATTCTTGAAGAATCTCAGAGAGAACAAAAAAAACACAATATCACCTTTTCTCTAAGTTTCCTTTTCACAGATATCAAAACGAACAAGCAAACTTATATAACCATGACAGGTGAATATTCCAATAGAAAGATGGAAGAATCAAACATCCAGAACAGGAGAATAAATTGAAAATTTCAAAGAGTTTGAGATTAGTATAAAAAACAAAGTCCAAGATATATCCAAAGCAAGAAAAGTCAAACCATCATCGTCACACACAGTTCCTAATATCCGATTCAATATACACACAAGAAACAACCACGCGCATTGCTTCAGGGGCAAACATCAATCTCAGTCAACAATTTCCACAAATTGCTTCTCAAATCTCAATCCCAGGTACTATCAGAACAGACGAAGATCAAAAACGAAATCGAAATATTCAATTAGAGTTTCCAAATCCAGAAAACCAAATCAGATCCCTTCTAAAACTAATACATCGTCGTCTTCACGAAATCCAAAATCGAACAAAATTCAACACTGTAGCAGAAGCTAATTCACGCATAAACGAACACACACACACAAAATCAAAAAGCTCAGAAAATGGAACCTGGAACCGGATCCCAAAGACCTCGAGATTTTTTCCGTCTTCGCGAGCTTGTTCGTTTCAACCCAAAGATCTAAGTAACTACAAGAGAGAAAATCGCCAACTCTCAGAGAAACGAAAAACCGAGAGCTACGCACTAACAAATCTCCCAGAGTTTGCGTATCGGTATCTATGTACGAATTCAAACGTTTACTTCTGGAAATTTTTCAATTTCTTCCACAAAAAAATTAACGATTTCGTTTCTTCTGA